ACATGGTTTGATTTGTCATGAAGGAAGGTGTGGGAAGCTCCACACTCTTCACTTGCTACCCTTTAGATGTTGCAGAGTTCTGCCTCTGTAAATATTTCACATGCTAAAATAAAATAAATAAAAAAAAAAAAGAGTCAACAGAAAACTAAAGAACCTGCTTCCCTGCTCTTCTTGCTGTTATGGTACAAGCAGGCTGCAGTCAGTGTGGTTGTCTCAGCTGCTTTCCCAGGACACTGTCTGCTCAATGGGGCTTCCACAAAGGAGGATGTTGTGCTTTTTGCCATAGCCTTGTGCTTCCAGGGCACAGAGTTACCTGCCAGAACTTCTGTGAGTCACCATGTAAGCAGGTTGGGGCAGAATTAATATTTTTTCTCTTTTCAAACTGGTCCTCAGGCTGGGAGCTGGAGCTGGACCTGTGGGAGCTCTGGCTGGCTGTCTCACTGCTGGACTAGCCCAGCACACCCACAGCACACTGCAGGCCAACACCTCAGAGACTGGTTGAACCAGCTAGGCACTGTATATACAGTTTGCATGGTTTGTTTGGTTAAGCTTTTTTAAAGCCAGAGCAGAGACTTTCCACTCTGTGATTGTCCTTTAGGACATGTTGCTATATTCTGTGCTGCACTTCCAAAGTTCTTCTTATTTGGAAGTCACATTCCCTGCTCAGTTCTGCAGTGTTGAGCCTAGAGTGGAGTGTCCAGAAGTGTCAGGAGCCAAGTGCAGCAATGGATCTCCATAGAAAGCAGGCCTAGCAAAAATGTGCAGTTTGTGCAGTGACCTCCACTGTGAGGAGGAGCTGAGCCTGCTGCAATGCCATCTGGAGTTGTACTGAAGGCTTGAGGTACCTGCTACTCACGTGGGCTTTTGACAAAAACATACTTCACTCCCTGCTGGCAGGTAGGATGGAGACAGCAGAAAGTAGCATTAGGCTTCATACAATAACACCTGTATTGTCTACCCACCTCTCCAGCCAGCTCTCAAGCCCTTCTTAATTCTGCACATAATCCATGAATGGGATGTGTTTTGAGGCCCTCTGAGTACTGGATTTCTGTGTCCAGGTTTTGGTAGCAGGAGGATCATTCCTCATCCCTCTCCTCCCCTCGCCACTGGGGAAGAAGAGGTAGAGAATTCGGGAGTAAAGCTAAACCCAGGAAAAAGAGAAGGCGGGGGATGTTTTTAAGATTTAGCTTTTATTTCTCATTATGCTATCCTGTTTTGATTTGTGATAAAGGAATTTCCCCAAGCTGACTCTGTTTTTCCCCTGATGGTAACTGGTAAATGATCTCTCTGTGCCTTTATCTCAGCCCAGGAACCTTTTGATATATTTTCTCTCACCTGTCCAGTTGTGGAGGGGATTGATAGAGCAGCTTTAGTGGGCACCTGGGATGCAGCCAGGGTCAACCCACCAACCCCTGTGTGAAAACAAGTTTGAGACGGTAAAATATTTGTTTGTATTTTACTCATGGACATATCTTGATAATACTATGGAGAGTAAAATATCAATTGGGCATTTTTTAACTTACTAGAGAAGTCACTGCCTGAAGGGAGGAGAATGTAGGGCACTCTGACCCTGAGTACATAAGAAAGCTGCATTAGATGATGCAGTTTCTGATCAGTCTCTCTAGTTGTAATTGTACAGACTGTAATTGTACAGTAATTCACTGCTACCTTATTTTGAAAATCCCTGCAGATGATTCCCACCAGACAGACTGCTTTGGTAAGCAGTTCATTTCAGTACCTCACAAAAGCTACAGCAGAGAGCAGGGCGAGGACAGGATGTAGCAGAAGTGATTTACTGAGTAAGCAATGTCATCACTCTGCTGCACATCATGTCTTTGCAAGATAGAAATTTGTTGGTTGATTTTACCTTACAGAACAAACAAGATTAAGTGGCAGGGGCACAGAAAGCAGGCTTATTTCTCTGGCTCCAAGACACATTTGCAGACGTGCATTAGATCTTTTTCAGTCTCAAGTGGCAGATACTTGTTGGCAAGGCATGGTTTTGGCATGCAGCACTTCTCAAAAGCTTCTACCTGCTCATAGTGTCTATTTTGGTAATTGAATCAGTTACTTGGAGTTTGCTGTCCTTCCTTTGCATAAAGCCTTCCTTGGTGAATTATGTGAAAATGTAACTTGGTTTCTGTTGAGAAAAAAAATACAGATTAGTTTGACTCACACTGTGTAGAGCTGTAATTGGGGTCACTTCCAGAGTCATGGAACTAAAGGATGCCACCATCCTGAGGAATTGTAGAAAAGTGTGTGAGTGAGTGTGTGTGTGTGTGTGTGTGTGTGTGTGTGTGTGTGTGTGTGCGCGCTCCAAGGAGAGCTCTGCAGTAGCTGCTAAATGGAAAGACAAGCAGAATTACGTCAATATAATCTCAAAGACAGCAAAGGGACACTGTAATGCCCCCCCAGGCAGAGACTTTGTGTCTCTGTTACCAGTCTGAGTTAGATCCCTGGGTGTCCATACCAAATCACAGTTAGATCATTGTTTGCCTGCTGCTCCAACAAGTGTTCTTCTCATTTGCGTTTGTGTTCATGGCACAGAATTTTCTTTAGTAGCAAACAATTTTTTAGAAAAGCAATAAAGCTTCTTTATAGAGAAAGACATATTGCTTGCAGCTATTTGATTTCATTATTTAAAATTTCCTTGTCTCCCCCCATTTTAATGTCAGCACTGAGGTACTTGCTAATGGGAGAAACCAGTGTATCATTAGGTATTCTGCCTGATCTTCCTCCACCCAGTTTTGCAACTACCCAAAACATAGGAGCAGGCAGCAGCATGCCCTGGCTAGCCTGAGGAGTTCACTGCCTCAGGAAGTGATCAGATCACATCTCTGTCAGGATCTCCTGTCTTCTTCTGGGAATGAGAAATGCAGTTCCTGAGAAAAAAAGAAAAAAAAAGGCATATTTTAAACACCAAAGAGAAGACACAGAATGAGTTGCACCTCATTTCATAACTCCTCCTGCAGGTTTTGGCACTCTGCTGAGTTTAAATAACCGATGCCTGAAAGACGTGAGAAAAGTGTGCTGAGAGAACATTTCTGGGTGGAAACCACCCTACATGGAGAGAGGATGCACTGTGAGCTGTGTGGATGCTCAGAGCTCTGCACTGTCCCCTCTGCATGCAGGGGTGGGTGATCATGGGAGACTGCAGTGGCTCTCTTGCCTAAGCCTGGGAATGTGTGCATTGCTTTGGGCAATGCTAGTGGGAAACCCAGACTCAGCTAAACTTCTTCAGCGCACCTGGAAACCACAGCAGGGTGGTTTTTTACTTGCACATAGCACAAGAGGACTCATCTGGCAGCAGACCCAATGAGCAAATACCACAGTGCAAATAGCAGATAATAATAGTAGCTTTGTAAGTGCTCACAGTTGTCTGAATTTCCTGATGGTGCAGTGAAACCTCAGGCATCAGAAGGTAATGGTGCAGGAGCCAGGATGCAGCATACCTCTGTGGGTATGACCTGGCTGTAGAGCCCCATCTGTGATGCCACTGACAGCCCAAAGAGCAGCAGGCACTGTGGCCCTCCACTGGGCTGCAGATTCCATGCAGTGGACGGGGAGAGCAAGCTGCATTGTTCCTTAGCAGCAGGGAGATTTGACTGGGTGTAGCAATGCTGCAGATTTGGAAATTGAATACTTTGTGCAGATTATATATAAGTTAGGTAGCAGTTTTAATGTGCAGTAGGCTTGCTAGAACCATCTAGTCTGACCAAGAAGCATAAAAACTGCCATCAAACTCAGCTTTTGAGGCTGCCTTGATGATTGTAAAACAGTAGTTTTTTACAGAATATTGACTTCACAAGACAAGGGCAAGTAACAAAGAATCTACAGCTTCAGAGGAACTGTTCCTTCTTTCACACAATTTGCATAAATGGTAGCTTGCATTACCCACATGTGTTTATACAGCAGTTCTAGGTGGCTTGTTTTGCCTGCTGCCATGTAATGACAGTGAGGCACAGTGGGAACCAGGTTAGGTCAAGGTCACAAAGAAGTTAGAGGGGAAATAAGATGGAGCTGGGTAGAGGGATGAGAACGTATGATGTAGGCATAAAGTAAGATATACTCAACCCCTAAATAGATTGTGTCTGTCTTTGCTCTATTTCTTTTTGAAAGCTGCTTCCTTCACCCAGTATTCATCACAACTTACGTGGGACCACCAAGCTACAGTAGTAGACAATGGGCAGGCATGTTCTTGCCATAAAACAATGAGACAAAACTCCTTCTGCAGATCTCCTTGCTGGTGAGACAGAAGCCTTTGTTCGTGATATGAGCTGGATGTCAACCTATCCCCTCTGTAATTGCAGTAATTAATACTGTTACAAATCTGTTGAAGTTTCTCATTTACAGAACACTGTTATCTTGCATCTGACTTTGATAAGGTGAAGGTGCATCTGCTGTTTACAGCTTGATTTAACTACCTGTTTCCGCTGTTAGCAATGACCTGTTCAGGGATGAAGTCAAGCATGTGCACCAAAACACTGGCTCTGACTGAGATTCCTCATCAAAATCTGTGTGCCTAGGTGTTGCTGTGCTCAGAGCTCTTGTGGATGTAACAAATACAGGGAAAAATGAGAGGAAACTCGGAGGAAAGCAGAAGAGTGAATTGATCCTGATTATATTGCTAATAAACATTTTATCAACCCATTTCTTGTAGTTTCCCAGCCATCAGCATCAAAACTCTACATGTTGTTTTGAGCTGAAATAGAATGTTTCCCTGCTCCTGAAAGCTGAAGGATCATTCCTGTGGTAATGAAATAAAAAACACTGATGTTAGCATTCCAGACTTGCGCCAGGAGATGTGGCTGCAGTCCAGTTTACAGGTCTGAGTACAGAGTAACTTCCTAGAAGCCAGCAGAGCTTCTTCAACTTTCAAGCTGTCTCAAACTTATTATTTCAGCACAGTTATGGCCTTTTCCTCATAATGGTTTGAAGTGATGGCATTGTGATTTCAAATGTCCACTGACCTTTCCTAATTTTCTCTTTTTGTTTTAAAGTATATTCGGTGCTGTTCGAACTGGTGCTTACATGCTGTACATTTTGATGACCAAAGGCCTGAAACAGTCAGTGTGTGACCAGAGTTTTTACATTGGACCTGTCAGCAAATTCTGGGCATATGCATTCGTGCTAAGCAAAGCACCCGAACTAGGTGAGTACCCTCTCTCTTTCTCTCATGTGCATTTGTGTATTTTTAGAGAAGAAACATCCATGCAGACAGCGCAAGAAGGGTCTCATCAGTGTCAAAATCCCATTTAAGTCTCAGAAAAACTGAGTAAACATAACCAAGCCCAAACTACCTGCTTTAGCCCAGGAATAAACTGCAGTGATTATACACAGCAGGGCAGTCGAGAAGTAAAAGCAGTCTGGTCCATACCTTTTCCTGAGCTACTTGCAGGCAAATGGGAGTGGCATAATTGGCAGTCACACACCCCGTGGCTACACAAGTGGAGGGTGGGCTAGAGCAGCTGTGTCAGCAAGAAGCTTTGAGTCAGGCTCTGCCTCTGTTCTGCAGCTTTCATTCTTTAATACACACCTAGGTGTACAATTATGAGCAGTAAGGTGCTTCCTCCCTAAACTATGAAAGCTGTGGCTGCCTGCTTCCTCCAAGTAGAAACCGATTTCCCATAATATCCCTAGCTTTTTCTGTCTTGATTTTTGTAAACTTATATCTCTCCAGCAGTTTCTTGACAAGGGTACTTACGATATCCATGTGAAAGCCATCTTGAAAGTCCGGCTTAATGTGTTCTCATCCATGGCTTATTAGTGTAAGAAAGGATTGTTTTAATGGAAAGGAGCTGCCCTCCAGCTTTCATTTCAGACGATGTCCTTATTAAACCCCAAAGGACTGCAGCTCTCACTGTGTTCAGGTGTACAGCAAAAATGAGACTTTACCTTTCAGCAGGTAATTTAATTCAGCAAATTAAAGAGGACAGCAATTCATCAGCATTAAAACTAGAATGAGACAGACACCAGTTGCCTTGCTGTGTCAGAATCCCTGGGTTTCCTGCTGCTTAAATTGCTGCAAACCCACAGAAATTCAGTTGTTAAAAATGGGGAACATCAGCTAGAATGCACAGCAACAATAAATTGAACATATGATTACTTATTAAAATATGAGTCAACATCATGCAGTTAATGAAGTGAACAGCAGTGTTATGGTTTATTGCAGACCTTGAGAAGACAGTGCAGTTTTGCTTCCATCCATGACTAATATTCAGGACTTAGATTTGCTGGGATACTTACACACCAAACTAAGTCCCCGGGTTCAAATCTCAGGGATCCTTTTGGAAACACTGTGTGTATAATAGTGGAAAACAGGTAGCATACATATATATCCATAAATCTAATTAAGATGCTCATTGCAATATGAGAAGCAAATGGAAGAAAAAAAGCAAGCAAGATGAATAATACTAACTTTTATACAATAGTAAGATTGGTTTGCAGAAAAGGAATGTTTCAACATAACACACATTTCTTCCTGGAAGCATCTCTTTCAGTACGGTAAGTTGCATATGCAACAGCTTTTTTGTGTATTATTTCAAAAGGCTCTACCGATTTTAACTAGGTTCAGTTTGCACTTAGACATTTGAGCCAGAGGACAGTGTGCTGCTTCCTCTAGGTTTTCTGCTCTCTGTCAAGCTGCATTTCTCTTCCAGTCACAGTACATAATAGGCAGTCTCACAGTAAGAGATGATACACCTACATCCACCTACCTCACCCCAGACTTTTGTGGATAATGTTTGCAGCAAAAGGCTACCAAGTACACATACGGCGTTTTCAGATGGGGTTATCCATACAGGAAAATGTCAATGCATTGGTTTGCTAAAGATTGCATAGGGATTAGGAGCCAAACTGGCTCTCAGGCAGCCTCTCAGATCTAGAGCTGAGGTGGATTTCATGCTCTAAAGTAGTGTATACTCCAGCAGCAGCAAAGGCAAGAGAGCACTGCGTTAATTATGGAATTGTTTGATATGTTTCTCATTTCCTCCCCCCCTTTTTTTTTTCTGTGTGTGTGTGTTTTGCTTTCATTACAGGTGATACAATATTCATTATTCTTAGGAAGCAGAAGCTCATCTTCTTACACTGGTACCATCACATTACAGTGTTACTTTACTCTTGGTACTCCTACAAGGACATGGTGGCTGGCGGGGGCTGGTTCATGACCATGAACTACGGGGTGCACGCCGTCATGTACTCCTACTATGCCTTGCGGGCCGCCGGCTTCAGGGTCTCGCGCAAGTTCGCCATGTTCATCACCCTGTCGCAGATCACTCAGATGTTGATCGGTTGCGTGATCAATTACCTGGTCTTCTCCTGGATGCAGCATGGCCAGTGCCATTCCCACGTGCAGAACATCATCTGGTCCTCTCTCATGTACCTCAGCTACTTTGTGCTCTTCTGCCATTTTTTCTTTGAAGCCTATATTGGCAAAACCAGAAAAGAAAGGAAGGTTGACTAGAGGTAGAAACGAGAAGCCATAGCTCAGGGTCATCAAGAAAAAAACAAAATTATAAGAAAAAAAAAGGCACAAGGAAACACATATATGTATGGTGCAGCTAAAACTTGGCAGCTTAGGGAAAGTTAGCTTGGTTTAACCCAGTAAGTTTATGATCCTATCATGGTGAGGACTCACTGAATTCTACTCTATCTCAAAGGACTGCTGATGAAAGACAACTTCCTTCTTGTACCTCTCTGCTCTAGAAAAGAAGGAGAAAAGAAGAGAAAATTCAAGAAAAAGAAAGAAAAAAAGAGAGAAGAAAAGAGATATGGAATAATGTTAAGGGGGGAGTAAAAAGTACATTAAATAAGCAGTGTGTTTCCCCAAGGTGGAGGAGAGACTTCTATTTAGAAAAAGAAAAAAGGTTTCTAAATCCTTTCTAATAATTTCTCTGCATTAAACAACAACAACAAAAAAAAAAAAGCAGAGGTGAAAAAAAAATCTGTCTATAATAACAACAAGATTGCAGAATTAAAATTTTTTCCATAGAAGGTTAATACCTTCAGCCAAAGTGAAGCCCAAAAAGATGTTTCCTGCATGGAAACTGGCTGAACTCCACACTGTGGTTATGTATGGAAAAGAGAAGAGATTGATTTCTCTGCTATGTACTCTGCCAGGAGAGCAGATCTGGGATACAGAGTGACTTCCCTCAGAAGGTGGAAAGGAGCAGTATTTTTACAAGAGTTTAATGTGAAAAGATGCACTGTTGCAATACATATCTCAGAGAGTGCATTTCCAAGTGCATTTTTCAGTTAAAGGCAAGGAATTTCTGCAGCAGGATAAGTCATAGAGGGTTAAATCAATCAATATTTGCTAAATTACCAGGGGCTAATAGCGGAGGGATGTTCAGAAAGGAGAGGGAGACAACTCCTCTCACATGATTTTTAGGAATTATCCATTGCTCTTAATTTAGCCCGCAGCAACACCGAATTAAACGGGGGAAATCGGGAGAAATCGCAGTTAGCGAGAAGAGAGTGATTTATCTGCCCACTGTTTTCAGAACAGAGCCCTGTGGTACAATCTAGATTCTGTGTTTTTGCAGACACAAGGATGCCTGCCTGAGTCGGCAGAGGTGGCAGGACTGTGCGACATTGGGTATCACTGTGCTTCTGCATCTGCCTCCTGGGCAGTGCAAAGATGTTCAAAGTGCCCTCCTCTGGTCATGTGGAGATACTACTACAAAACATACCTGGAACAGGTTTTTCTTGAGATTTGTGTAGGAAAAAAATTAGTCTAAATGAAGTAATTTTGGTGCAACAGCTTGACTCTAAAGTCCAGAGAGAGTGATCTTTCATTAAACAAATATATCTCTGCAGAATCTGTACTGTAACATCAGACTGACCGCTTAAGAAGACACTCTTTCTTCTCTGAAGTCAGCTACAGATGTAAACAGAAATGTATTTCACTCTGAACCTTAGAGAGTTAGTTGAGAACAGCCATATTCTTTTAAAGACAAGTAGATTGCATTATCTGTGATATTCCAGTCCTTACAAAGCCAAATAAAATGTGTAAAAGTTCCTAGTATTTCAAAGACGCAAGTATGTAAACTTGATGTTAAATGTGTTAATGTAGTATTCTAAATTGTAACAGCTAGGTAGTTTAACTAAACAATTAGAAGAACTAGATCAACAAAATAGGGACTGCTGTTCTGCATAGAATATACACACACCTATAACTACACCCATATACACATTCTGTGAATTGTCGACAAGAAAAAACAGCCCAGTGGCAGAGAATCACATTTCCTGGCTAATGCAAAAGATTGTCATTATCTTTCTTGCTTTAATTTGAGATTGTACAGTACAAAGGGGTTTCTTTAATTATTATTTTTAGCTTTAATTGTGCTGTCATTCATGAAACAGAGCTGCTTTAGTATCCTGTTAAGAGATGACAAGGGCTTTCGGTGTCTCATTATATACAAAAGAAAAAAAAATAAAATTACATTCCATATTATGTGAATGGTCTTACAAATCAAAGGCCTTTTCAGGCTCAAATCGTAATTATAACAAGCAGAAAATGAGTTTACATTTGTGTTATTTAAGTTATTGATGTGCTGACATTATTTTATGGTACAAACCATTGCAAAATGTGATATGCAGTAATGAAGCTATGATACTCATTAATAGGACTACTGTATACGTGGAAATATTAGACAAAACCAATTAAATGTGTAAAGCATTTTGTTATACAGCTTGGGAGTAGATAATTATAACGCTGAATAAGCCTTTTTCCTCATGTTTAATTTTGCCCTGGCTAAAAAGCAGGTTAAGAAGACCAGTAAAGAGTGGAAAAGGCAAAATTAAAGTTAACTGCAATTAGCTGATAAAGTGTTAGTAGGAGCCCACCATTGTGCCATTCAGAGCCTCAGTCCCATGTGTCTTAAGTCTCTCAGACAGAGCAAGAGGGGCTGGAAGTGGTCCAGTGTCTGGAGCTGAAGCTGGAGCAGACCTCTTGGACTCTCTGAAGTCAGTGGAGGCTTTGCTGTGCTTTGAACAGAGCCAGTGTGCCTGACTGCCTTTATCTGAGCAGAGGGGAAGGAGCCCTGCATATCTCCTGCAAATTTGAGGCTTATGGCTCATGACTGAAAACCTTTATTGATGGCAAGTGACATCACAGCCTGGCAAGGACTTGCTGCCCAACTTTAACACAGGCATGAAACAGGGTGGGCTGCAAACAGCAATCACCCCTCTTTCATACTCTGTTTTCCTTAATTGCATAGGATTAAACCCCCATATTTCTTGGTCCTGGATGGCAATGCTGGCAATGCCAACACTGATTTCAGCAGAGCAAGAAATTCACCTGCTCCTTCCCCATCTCCCAAAGCCCTCATGGGTGCTTCTGCACCGTTCCCATGCCCAGTGCCCTCCCAGACAAGGCTGGCTGTGGGGGAGGCAGCTGCCCTGCTGCAGCTTCCCTCCTGCCTGGGAAGCAGCTCCAGTGCAGTCACCAGCCCGAGTGACCTCCTCAGCAGGCAGTGCAGATGCACCCCTGGTGTGCAGGGGAAGCTGAGCACCAAATGCAGGGGGCATCCTGGCAGGTGACTGGGCTGCACACAAGCACACTTGTAGGGATGTGGCAGCAGGATCAGACATGTAAGGTACAGTGACAAATGAGGGAGCATTTGTTGTCACACTGGGAGCTGGCTGTGACACTGCCATTTGCTTCAGGAAATTAGAACATCACACACACATTTACAAGGTCCTATGGCCCTACTGTACCAGCAGGGTTTTCCTCTGAGGTTTTGCACTGGAGCCAAATGGTCTAACTGCCATTAAAGAATTTGACAAAAATACAAAATACAGCTGACACTGTTTTTCTTACTTTTCTTCCCCTGAAACATACATGCATCATATTTAGACATCATGTTTAATCCACTTGCAAATTCTTTAACACTGAGCTTGTCATGTAATGACACCTCAACGGTACTCCTGCTGTTCCAACCTTTGAGCCACAAGATACAAACAGAGCTAATTGGGTCCTACTTATTTCCCCTGGCTTGGGTCTTGGAGTCATATTTTCAGATTTTTCTGTCCAGTACCAGAACTCTTTTTTTCCCTAGTTATTTTAAAGAAACCTGTAATTCTGTTGTGTTCACACATGCCATGGGGAACTCAAACTTTATATAAATTTACCAAGGGTTATAGGACCTGTGACATGTGTGAGACATGCTAGAAATGCTGTTATGGGATCCACTGTTAAAGTCAGGAAAGTTCCACTGTTGATGAGGTCGCTCTACCAGGGTCAAAGTCTGTGTTTTATGTTTTGATGCATTAATGCAATGTACTGAAATAAAACCAGAAAGGTCAGTATGGATTTATGCTTAGGCAGCTGCCAGCAGAATTTGGCTCTTCCTTAAAACTACTTCTGTGTAGTGAACACTTTAAGGAAAATATTTTAAACTAGTTAGTGAAAGAACAAAAACTTGGATAATTCTGCAGCCTCCTTAAACCATGCCTGTGATGAGAAGGAAACCCCTGGTTCTTACAGATCTTTTGTAACTCAGTCACAGATGATTTAGGTCTGGGCTCACTGATAACACCCAACTAGGAGCAGCTGACTCCAAAAGAGACCTCTCACCAGCATCTCACAGTAAAATGATTTGGGTTTTTTGCAAGATAAGGGCCAAAGTGTGCAAAAGGAATCACTCAAAAGAGTCAGGCAGAGTAGCAAGAATGAAATATTGCACACAAGTTGCAGGAGAGACACAGAGGGAGATCTATTCCATATCCCAGGACAAAGTATTTCCAGGGTGAACACTCACTCCCTTCCAAGATGAGGAAAGGCAGTGTGGAAGGAGGGTGGGCTGCACAGTGCCAAGTGCTCAGGATGAGGTGGCTGTTGGAATGAAGCTTCCATGTAGGGGTCCCTCCTGCAAAAGTTAATTAGGCAGTTGCTCCCTGAGTGCCAAGGTGGGTGTGTGGGTTTGTTTGGAGGAACGTCCATGGTTTGATAACTTTATTTTTTCATCTGAAAGTAAAAACTTGGGACATTTTAGTTGAAAACAATGGTACCTTAGGGTTCAGGCAACATTCAGGTGGTTTCAGGCAACAGAGCATAAGAAACCAATTGTTGTGACCATGAAATAGCAGCCTTTGTAAGCAGTGCCAGATGCAATGCAGTGGTGCTGTAATATTTCTAGGAGTTGTAGTCTGTTGTGTACTTCAGAACCAGAAGCAGAAGTACAGCATCTTTGTATAGGAACCATAAACACAGACCATAAAGTAATGAAGATGGCTTTGATCAAGGAAGACATCAAAACAAATTTCAGACCATACTGCATAAGTTCAGGACTTATTCCAATGCCTGCTTAAAGTGAGATTGTTGGTGAGATGTCCAATGACTTTGGGTAGCTTTGCTTCAGCCCACTGGAGGCCAGTTGCAGAGGGTGATGTAAGACCTAAATTCCCTTTTTGCTTAGTGATAATATGAACCCTCTGGGGCATTACTCAGATCTGACCTGGGTCTTCAGTCATATTTTCCAGCCCAGCATCAATGAGCCCTCTACAAGCGAAGATTTGTAACTCAGAATTATCAGTGAGTTTCCACGGTTTTATTTCAATACATTTTCCATTCCATTTATTTTATTAAAAGCAAGCTAAAGGACAAGTCCCTGATCCTGCTATCGTGAACGCTCCCTTGCAGCCAGTGCACCATACACAGGCTTTTGCTTACAGGGGTAAAGGCAGGACCAGGGTCTTGTTACTGACTTAATTTCTAGCAGAGCAAACACCACAGGGTAGGATTTGATTTCTTAAATTGAATCAACTGTACCAACACAAATAAGATTGGATCTGCACATTAACTTGACAGCTAAGGGTAACCAGGGCCCTCCCCAGGACATCATAATGTAAAATGCTGCATGAAGAGGGGTTAGAGTGTATTTCCCAATGGGTATAAAATAATACTTCCCTGAAACAGTGACCTTCCTGAGAAATCTCCCTTCTGTCCAGTCCTGGACAGCTTCAAACAGGCCTGTCTGCTGAAAAAATGCAGCTCTGATTGACTTATCTGCTTTCTCAAAAGGGCCACTACATGCTTTAGGCTTTTTGGAGCCTTAAAGCTCAAGCTAGATTTATATTCAGAAAAAGAAAAACAACCTTAATATGTGTACAATAACTAGAAGAGAATAGTATGATAAATATCTTTATTTTACCATTTTCAAATGGCTATTTCATTACATAAAAGGAAGTTTTTATTTTTATTTTTGGGGGTATATTGATATTCCAAATAAATTTTAACTTTTGGTTCAAAATAAAATCTGTCTCTGTGTCTTATTAATGTGTAACATCCATTTTTTCTCTCAATTTGCACCAAGTCCATTTGTTGAATAAGAGAAGTCATTCTCCAGATATGAGACTACAGCATGACTACTGTGTCACTTCCCAGCAGATCTCTACCAAGTTGATATTTTTGTGCACCACACAGAAGCATCACTTGTTTTTTTTTCTTTTTGTGTGCATCACATGCACCTGTGTGATGAGAGTGCATATCATACAGGTGCTTAAATGTCCTGACTGTACACACCTACATTTTGGGAATCCTAATCTTTACATCTGTGGTAAGGAACAGAATCCCTGTCCACCATGGTACCATCTGTGCAGGGAGATCATGAGAGCAGAGCAGCTCTTGCCAGTGAGCCCTGGCAGCCCTTTGCTGTTGTACCCATGGCACTGGCTGCTCCCATGGCAGTGGCTCTCACCAGCCATTCCCTGGACAATCCTGTGTCTGTTGTTCCCTGAACATCCCAGTTACCCATCCCTGCCAGCAGCATGGCTTGTGCAGGCAGGCACCCCTGCTGAGTGATGGACACAGCCAGCCCTGCTCTGCGCAGCAAGAGCAGTTCGTGGCTGGTTTTGCTCCTGCTCTTTTGGAGTTAAGCTAAAGCAGGCTATAAAGGAAAAGCTTTGTTGCCCTATATACGCAATTCAATAAAGTGACTTGGCATCTGGCATCTACTGCAGGACTAACCAAAATCTGAGGCAAGATCCAAAGTGAAAGATGTTTGGGCTGCATCATCACCCTGCTGAACCCTCACCACTCCCCACTGCCTTCCAGCCCCACAGCAGCTTTCTGAGCAAAGACAGCGGAGGCTGGAGGCACAGGGAGGAAGGTAAAGGAGTGGGAAGCCCACAGTAGGGACACATGGGGATGTGAGAGACCCTGGTGACCTTCCTGAGGACTGGCTTGGGAATCAGCCCAAGGAGGAGTCTGAAAATGAAACATCAAGAAGAGGGAATTGATCCAGCATGCACATATGACTGGGAAAGTGCTGCCTACCATCTTCAGTATTATCACAGGGAGAGTGAAAGAGCAAATAATGTAGCAAAGCAGAAGGGGGTTTACAAGGTAGGCACAGCTCAATAACTGTTCAATAACCAAGTAGAAAAAAACCCCATTATGTGGGCAGTATAGGATTTCTTCAGACTTCTGGCAGAAACTGCATTTTCTTTCCTCCAGCTCTCTATGCTTCTGACAAGTACCTGTGACACTGTCTATGCCCCCAAGCACAAACGTCAGCTCTTCTTTCTAGATTCTTCTGTCAAGCTGCAGTAAGCTTGTGCCTGGAAGTCCCCAGCAGAATTAGTCATCCTGGCATCCCACTAAACATGGGCTGCTATTTACCCAGAAAGATGAAATCAGGATGAAAGGAATTGTGTTGTGCTTGTCCTTCAGCACTGAGTGGACATGCAGGCATCCATCACCACGAGGCTCTAGCAGTGCTCTGTTTATTGCCATCGCAGCAAGAAGAAACATTTTCCTAAGCTGAGCACATGCAGGAGCCCAGCCACAGTGGAGGGGAGCTGTGGAGCTGTAGCTGATGCTCTCCTGGCAGCTTGTGCAGGGAGTGGGGCACAGCCCCACCTTGATCCGTGCTCTGCCCCTCCTGCACAGCAAGTGCCTCGGAGACAAAGCTGAAGCACCTCACAAAGTTCACATTAAGTCCATGCAAGCAAACACAGATTCTGCAGTGATGTTGGACTTGGCCAAGAAGTTTCTTGAGTCTTCGCCACATTGCTTAATGTCAAAATGCTGAGTAAACTTTCTTCATCCATTCTCCTCCAAGTAGCTTGGTGACCTCTGTGCTCCCTCAGAGTGATGTGCCCACAAAATCCCTGCCAGAAACCCCCACATAAACACCTTCAGCTGTCCCTGCTCTGCCACCTTCCAGTCCTTTGGAGGCCTGAGAACTTGTCAGGCAGCAAACCCTCACTGCTGCTCTGTCAGAAGCTCACCAGAGAAGGCTTAAAAGGGGTTGTTTATAATGACTTTTATAAGTGATGGAGCAGGCTCAGTTGCCTGAATTATTGACCTGGGGGAGAGAAGTGAAGCCAACTGAATTCTGCTAGGGGCACAGTGCTCTGTCTTACCTCTCATCTACACTGCTCTTCACATTTCCTCTCTGTGTCACCAAGCCCCAGGTCCTGCTGCTTCAAGGACTCTGAGTCTGTCTGTTCAGCCCAGGCTGTAATCCATTGCTTTGTGCAACAGAGGACGACTTTTCTGTCCACCTGCTCCAGTCCCCATCCCATTGTTGCCAGCTGCAGTTTGCAATCCAATGCTCAAATCCTTTCTGCTGCTGTGCTCACTGTAATTCTTCATATTCTTCACGCATCACATCTCAGCTGCTGCCCCCCAGCACGGCTGGCACCTCCACAGGGTGGGGGATGAAGAAAATCTAACCACAGAAATGGCAGGAGGTGACATTACAAGAAGGGAAACAGTAATAGAAAATACCAGTTTCTGAGCATTAGAATAATTTGCTTTTGCTGAAAGGACCTTAAATGTCACATGTAAAGGATTTTTTTTGGTCAGTATTTTTTCCTTTAAAATTTTACTAGAAGTGCCAGGGATCTGAGGTTTGTCCAATGCAATGCTGGCACTTGGATACAAATGGTGCCACTAGAACTGCTAAGAGCATTTAAACCCTTTTTCCTTAGTGTTTGTTAGACAGACAGCAAAATACAGTTAACGAAGACTTTGCTGTTCACCTCTTCTGCTTTCTCACTACAGCTTTTCTTTCAACATGGCTTTATCCATGTAAGATAAGCTTAGCCCACAGAGGCTGGTGGGCTTTAAGGGTATCTGTCTGTAGGAGAGGTAAGATCATGGCTGTTTGGGGCTGTACTGTCTGTTTGGGAATGTTTTTTCTGTTGTGTAATGGAGTCTTTGTCTAGGGAGATGAAAGCTGTTCAGGCCTGTTGTCACTTGAGAGTGGTAACACTCATCACTTATGCATTTCATGATGGCAGCTCTGTACCATTTGTTGGAGAATTTTGCTCAGACATGGCTTGAAGGAAAAAAAGGCCATGAAAATATACAGCTGATTGAAAAGTAAAAGGCAGCTGTAAACAGCAAAGTTCTCACACACGTTCCTGTAAACAGCAAAGTTCTCAGGCTTGTTTTTTAATAACAAGTAAATACCTTGTCCTTGGATGGTGATGGGAAAGCAGAGTGACAAACATGGAGGCCTTGAGAACAGTCAATAATAGGATGAGAAAAACAAGTTTTGGTCTCAATAAGAAACCACAGGTATTGAAAACAAGAGGAGGGGTTGGTGTGTAATCTGTAGCCAATAATGAGCTCAGGTTTTGCAATATGTATGAACTTAATTAACACGATTATAAAAGTGTGCATGCTGGATCAATAAATCGGAGTTCGATGCTGCTCAATAAGGATGGGTCGTCTCCCTTCGCTTCCTCACCATTTCAGTATTTAATTCACAGCTGTTGATGTCCATAGACATTTAGGCTGGAAGGATGTTAAATCACTTCAAGCATATCACATGAAACTGTTGCCTCAGGTGGAGTTTTGCAAGCCCCAAGCAGAGATGAGCTCCTTTGTCCCACGTGGCAATCAGCATGATGCAGCCATGGGGCTTGACCCCACACACCAAAGCTGGAGGGGGCATCTGCAGGTGAGCTGGGCCTGGCATCCTGCAGCTGTGAGAAATGC